TGGGAGTAAGAGAGAGAAAGCGAGAGCAAGAAAGAGAAAGGGAGAACAAGAGAGAGAAAACGAGAGCAAGAGAGAGAAAGGGAGAGCAAGAGAGAGAAAGCAAGAACAAGAGAGAGAAAGCGAGAGCAAGAGAGAGAAAGCGAGAGCAAGAGAGAGTGAGAACAAGAGAGAGAAAGGGAGAGCAAGAGAGAGAAAGGAAGAGTAAGAGAGAGAAAGCGAGAGCAAGAGAGAGAAAGCGAGAGCAAGAGAGAGAAAGCGAGAGCAAGAGAGAGAAAGGGAGAGCAAGAAAAAGCGAGAGCAAGAGAGAGAAAGGTAGAACAAGAGAGAGAAAGCGAGAACAAGAGAGAGAAAGGGAGAGCAAGAGAGAGAAAGCGAGAACAAGAGAGAGAAAGCAAGAGCACGAGAGAGAAAGGGAGAGCAAGAGAGAGAAAGGGAGAGCAAGAGAGAGAAAGGGAGAGCAAGAGAGAGAAAGGGAGAGCAAGAGACAGAAAGCGAGAGCAAGAGAGAGAAAGGGAGAACAAGAGACAGAAAGCGAGAGCAAGAGAGAGAAAGGGAGAACAAGAGACAGAAAGCGAGAGCAAGAGAGAGAAAGGGAGAGCAAGAGAGAGAAAGCGAGAACAAGAGAGAGAATGGGAGAGCAAAAGAGAGAAAGTGAAAACAAGAGAGAGAAAGGGAGAGCAAGAGAGAGAAAGAGAGAGCAAGAGAGAGAGAAAGCGAGAGCAAGAGAGAGAGAGAGCAAGAGAAAATGGGAGCAAGAGAGAAAGAGAGAGCAAAAGAGAGAGAAAGAGAGAGCAAGAGAAAGTGGGAGCAAGAGAGAAAGCGAGAGAAAGCGAGAGCAAGAGAGAGAAAGCGAAAGCAAGAGAGAGAAAGGGAGAGCAAGAGAGAGAAAGCAAGAGAAAGCGAGAGCAAGGGACAGAAAGCGGGAGCAAGAGAGAGAAAGCGGGAGCAAGAGAGAGAAAGAGACAGAAAGAGACAGAAAGCGGGGGAAAGAGAAAGAAAGCGAGAGCAAGAGACAGAAAGCGGGGGAAAGAGAGAGAAAGGGAGAGCAAGAGAGAGGAAGCAGGGGCAAGTGAAAGCAGTAGCAAGAGAGAGAAAACGAGAGCAAATGAGAGAAAGTGAGAGCAAGGGAGAGAAAGCGAGAGCAAGAGAGAGAAAGCGAGAGCAAGAGAGAGAAAGCGAGAGCAAGAGAGAGAAAGCGAGAGCAAGAGAGAGAAAGCGAGAGCAAGGGAGAGAAAGCGAGAGCAAGAGAGGAGAGAGATTAAGAGGAGCGGTTGGTAGGCCTTCCCCTCTTCCCGAGTGCTTCCCGATTCAATCTATTTCTGGCGAGTAGGGTGAAGTCCCCGGCATTACGTCGTCATGCTAAACACACAAAACATTATTGCTCGCCTCAGGATGCCTTTCGCTTGTTTCTTCGTGCATGTGTAAATAAGCAGTGGTGTGTTTATATCCACATTTCATTGCCTTTCAGTGTAAAATGTGTTTACAATTGTCCGGATACTTAAGGGTATTTTAAGTAAACATACTCCTGTCTTCAACATTTTGCTCTTTTTAAACGACTGAAATCTCGTTTCGATCTTTATCTCTTTTTTTAATACGTCCCTTTGTAGCTGAAGTTAACACATCGAAGTGTGTAACGAACAGCGATATCATCTCACGCTTTGTCTTGGCTGCGGCGGCGGTGATGTCGCATTCCTACCTGAGCCTCCGATCACTTTTTGTGCCCTAGCCGACATACAGTACAAATCGTATTAAGTGAGGCTCCTGTTTCTTTAATGTAGAAGCATAAGACCTTTTGAATAACAAATCGCATTACTTCTGTACTGCATGTTATTAAAATAATTTTGTATTCGTTTCTTTACGAGTAAACATAATGGGGGTTTCAGCAAATGAGGTTTCCTGGAGAGGGTGTTTCTGTTTCTGTTATTATAAGTTTAAAAGTAATGTTTCCGTATTTACCCATATGATAATGACTTCACGTATGTGTCTGTATTCGTGTGTGTGGGGGGTGCGTGCGTCTGCCTGTCTTTCCTGTCCTATCTTCTCTCCTCTCTTCTCCTCGTCCCTTCTCTGCGTTCCAAATGGGTCTAGGCGCGCACATAAGTCACGGCAGACCTGGACGTTGGCGACACCTGTAGTTCCTGGAACGGCTGACAAGACATGGCTTAAATCTAATTTGGCCATTACTTATTCAGCGGACGGATAATACTCAGACCTGATTTTAAACCCGCTTATGTCTCTGAATGCCTCTACCGTGTTTAAATTTATCCGCGAGATGTCACATTGGTAGCCATTACTGAAGTTAGAAATGTGAATAGAGTTCCTAAACGACCCACTGTTAATTTTATGTAGGCCTACTAAAAGAAAGACGGCGATTCTCCTGAATATATTATTTTGAACCATGAAAGTTTCTTTTCTTCCTAGACGACTCTTATACCCTGATTAATATACCATGTTTTAATATGTCATTAAGCTGGTGCTAACGTCAACAAGGTCTTAAATG